TGGATAATAAATTCTCAAACATGTGTAAGATTGTTTTAAATTCGCAACTGAAAAACATTGGAAATTGAATCCCTCATAAAACGTTCAAAATCGATAATTTTGAATAATAGAAATACCATAACCGGTAACCCCAAAACTCTCAACAGTTTAAGGTTTCAGTAAAAAAATGTAAAAGTCTCCGAAAACTCGTATCTAATCTAACAATATAAAAATACGAAAAATAGAGCCTCCCTCTTAATATCACATACAATGTGATAATACAACACATTTGCGGAAAAGAAGAGGCTTAGCTGTTTAGGATATGAAATCCCAATTTAAGAATAAACTTGGTAATGAATCGATCAAAGTCCAGTTAAAACTTCAATTTTTTACGAGTATCAAAATATTAACTTTGCACATTTGAGTAGGGATTTGGTCTTAGGGTGTGTTTGATAGGGGCCAATTACATGGAAAATGGAATTCATTTTCCACCCAAATTGTAGTGTTTGATAGCACACTTTTTCCATAAAATTTAATTTTCTTGATTGTCTTTGAAATTGTTCTTTTCTTGGTTTTCCTTGAAAACCAATTCCCACCAGTTTTCCAACCTACTTTTACGGGTTTTTTTTTTTTTTTTTTTTGGGGGGGGGGGGGGGGGGGGGGGGGGGGGTTTTAGAATTTTGGATCTGAATTTTGTACGAATATTGTGGGGGGGAATGGAAACAAATTCTAAGAATTATTGTAAAAAAATATTTTCCTTTAATTGACAATTTTCATGTAAAATAAAGACAAACGAACACCAAAAGATAGTTTTTTTGAATTTTTTTTTTTTTTTTGACAATGGAAACAGATTTCATTCCCAATACCGGTAAAATCTATCCCTTTAATTGACAATTTTTATGTAAAAAAAAGTCAAACGAACACCAAAAATCACTTTTATTTCAACATTTTCCACGTGGAAAATTATATTAATCAAACACAATAAATTGACAATTCTCAGGAAAATAATTTCTAGACAATTCAATTCCCTGAAATTCGCTTTTTTTCAACCCAAATTCCATCTTTGTAATCAAACGGACCCTTAGTATTTCAACTTACGAGGCCAACATTCTTAGCACTAGGACCAGTAAACATTTTGATACTTACGTATAATAATTTATATGTTAGGAAAATAAATCATCTATGGCTATCTAAAATATTTTTAAAAAATTTATAGTCATACAAGATTATAAAATTAAAATGTAAGCATTATTAGTGACAAATAAGGTAAAATATATATATATATATATATTAATTGTCTTGAAGAGAAGTTAATACATTGAAAATTTTAAAATAATTTTCTAAGATAACAATGATCCGACAATTGACATACTGATTCAATCAATAATTCGAAGACTAAGAGACTTAACCAAAATTGGGTCAATGCCCCAAGTATGGAGCCACATGGGCCCTTTACGATTCAGGGGGCTAGCTAGCCCCTTGTGATAGCCGGGGCTTGTGGGATTTAGAAAAGGTAATTGGCATAAAATGTTTTAACTTTTAATGTTATTGTACAAAACGTTCATACTTTTTATTTTTTTGCATTTTCACTTGTATCTTTCACCTTTAATTGCACAAAAAGTCATTTTCATTCATTTTTAACGATTTTACCTTCTATTTAAATAAAACGAAGACAAAAGAAAAGAAAACAATGAACTAACTGCAAACAAAGTCCCAAAATTTCAAAAATTACAACAAATGAGTTAAAAATATATTATTAAAAATCAAAAAAAAAAAAAAACTTTATTTTACCGTGAGTTTAACCCAGCCACCTAAATTATTGAGAGTTTAACCCACCACCCACCGTCGCATAAATCGTCGAAAAATGCTCCCCTCATCGGAGCAAATAATTGCTAGATAAGAATTAATTAATTGAATGGCTGCATGTTAGACCATATCATCCCGCTCTACAATCCTATACCAAAAATCGGCCATAATAATTCCAAAATCAGATGAAATTCAGACCTAAAAACATGCATTTGCGCAAGACTTTAGCACCAACCCACGGCCAAACTCTATTGCAGGCTTCTAATACTCCTCTAAGCGAGCACTTTTATGGTCTCATATCATCAAGAAACAGTTTAAATCAAATTCAGCCTCATTCCAATTTGAAGGCAGTGAACCACACAGTTTTCATCCCAAATTTCGACACCGGTGTTAAGAAAGCGATAACCACCATTTCTTCTACTCATCATGCTGAACAAAATGCATATATGGGTCTTCATCAATTTGTCTCGAATCAACCAATTAGTGAAGATGCACCCTTCTACCCGTGAATGCCTCTCGACTCCATTTCAATTGAACACTTAAATCTGCTCCAATTCGGCTGGAAATGATGCATTGGAATTCGTGCCACAAAACTTAATTATAACTTTATCAAAATTTCAATGCTCTCCAATTTGGAGGGTTAAGAATAAAGGTTTTTTTTTAAGTATATATTTTTAACTCATTTATAATTTTTTGAAAATTTGGGACTTTGGTTGCAATTAGTTCATTATTTTTTCTTTCTTTTTCTTTTTGTTTTATTTAAATAGAAGGGTAAAATGGTCAAAAATGGATGAAAATGACTTTTTGCACAATGAAAAGTGGAAGGAAAGGGTGAAAATACCAAAAAATGAAAGGTATGAACATTTTGCATAATAAAATTAAAAAGTAGGGACGTTCTGTACCAATTACCCTATTTAGTAACTATGATTTCAACTTACCAAGACATCCTCATTATTTTCAGAATACATTTTCTCTCTTTTCTTTTTAATCACATACCTTTCAATAAAATAATCTTACATGTAAATTCAAAAAAAATTCATATTTTTTAATTACACATTTTTCATCAATCTACCATTTCAAAATATATTCTAATCTAAAAATGAGGCTCGAAAAAGCTCCAAGTAACACCCCCAAAAGTGTGCATAAATTGGAAGCAACGGTATTACAACCTACATCCAACGATCATAAGTAGTCCACATGTCAAACATCCAATAGAGACACCATCCAATTCACTTTAATTAATTACAGACTTGAGGCCTCTTTCTTTGTTGTTGGATCACGTGCAAAGATAGCGACAATAAGAAGAAAGGATCAAAAACCAAATGGAAACACAAGACCCTACTTTAATTACACTCAACAAAAAAATATTTGTATAGACGTGGATCTCCTAACCATCACCTACAATGAAAATTATTAGACAGTCCTCAATTGGCTAGACTTAAACTTGTTAACTTCAGATCAGAAAATCATATGTTCCTGCAAGCTATCCGTCTCAGCTTGACTTATTATTGCAATGTGCCTAACGTCATCAAACCAAGTAGGCTAGAGACAAGTATGCTAGAACTCAATCTATGTTATAAGTAATGTTACCTATACATCATAATTTACAGATTGTTGACATAAAAGAGAGGGGCGGGGGGAGTCAATTAATGTAATACACGTCATCTTTTCATAAACAAATCTATAAATGATCATTATTCTAAAAAAAAGTCAATTATTCTAATGTTATTCAGCTCATGTTTGGCCCCCATTTTTTGGAAATAAAAATTGGTGAAATAGTATTTTTTTTAAAAATGAATGGTTAAAAAAGAAGGAAAAGTTTTAGATTTACGTGTAATATTATTTTATGGAAGATTGTGTAGTTGAAAATAAGAGAGAGAAAAATGAAATTTATGGTCCGTTTAATTGCAAAGATAGAATTGAATTGCCTAAAAAACGAATTCCAGGGAATTGAATTGTCTAAAATTATTTTTCTGGGAATTGTAAATTATTGTGTTTGATTGATATAATTTTTCACGTGAAAAATGTTAAAATAAAAGTATTTTTTGGTGTTCGTTTGGTTTTGTTTTACATGAAAATTGTCAATTAAAAGGATAGATTTTACTGGTATTGGGAATTAAATTTGTTTCCATTGCCCAAAAAAAATTTATATATATATATTTAAGAAAATCATCTATCTTTTGGTATTCGTTTGGCTTTGTTTTACATGAAAATTGTCATTTAAAGAAAAATATTTTTGTACAATAATTCTTAGAATTTGTTTCCATTACCAAAAAAGAAAAACAAAAAAAAAGGTGCTACAGTAGGTAGGAAAACCAATTTTCCACCATATATCCAAATTTCAAGACAACATAGAATTCGAATTTCATGGGAAAAAAATTGTATCAAACACTTAAAGTTGAAAATTTTAATTCGAATTCCATCTTTCAATTCCATTTTCATCATATCAAACACATCCCTAATATAATGAGATTCAAATGGGATCAAAGGTACGTAGTTGATATCAATATGGTAGTGGGCAGTTTTGCTCGCTCTATATATATGCATTGTCCCGATGAAATGCGCTCATCGTAGCAAAACAAATTAATTTGGTCGTTGTGTCAAGGACTGTAGCTATGCTTAGCGCTTGACAACTTGCAACCATAGTTTGCCCAATTTCTATCGGACTTTATAAAAATTGCTTTAAGTTATATTTTTATTTCAGTTGTTAAAAAACCCTACAATCTATATATACTTATTATGATTGCTCAACTTTTAAACATCAATTCCTATCACTTAAGTTTTTCTTACTTAATCTGCTATAGGAATAGTTTGAATTCAAAGTCTAGCATCAAACTTTTGAATTTTACTACTTGTACATCAAAATGACATATAAGTAGTTATCAAAAATGATATAAAGGGAGAATATTAAATGAAAAAAAAATATGTTTTAAACTGACAAATGATAATATCATATGACATTATACAATATTTTATGTAAATCTTTAATATATGTGTAAAATTTCAAACTTTTGATGTTCGCCTCTACAATAATAATCGTAATTTACTAGTTCTGTTATTCAATAAACAACTTATTTTCAATGCTTTTAACAAACAACCTATTTTCAGTACATTCAAATCTTATTCATGCTGTAAAGATTAATTTAATTGTTTTCATCCCAAAATTGATTTGAAAATAAACATAAGGTAGTCTATCGAAATATCATCCCAACAAATATAATTCACAATAAAACTACCATATGAAAGATGGAACAACAGATACAAGTAGAACATAGAGAGATTATATTGCAATCCAGACATCAGATGTTTTAATTTTCAAACAGAAACAACGAACTAAGCATAGAAAGCAGCAACATGATGCAACAAGCTAAAACAAACCAGACGACACAAATAAAGGAAGTAAATCACCAATGAGACCATTGGCTTGATTGATGTTCATTCACAAGTTTAACCTAGTAGTCTTCCCCATCTTCGTCTTCTCCTTCAGCAGATTCAGCTCCCACCTCCTCATAGTCCTTCTCGAGAGCAGCCAAATCCTCTCTAGCCTCTGAGAATTCTCCTTCTTCCATGCCCTCACCCACATACCAGTGAACGAATGCACGCTTGGCATACATCAAATCGAATTTATGATCAATCCTGGAGAACACCTCAGCCACACTAGTTGAGTTAGAAATCATGCAAACAGCCCTTTGAACCTTAGCCAAGTCCCCACCAGGAACCACAGTTGGTGGCTGGTAGTTGATACCGCACTTGAAGCCAGTTGGGCACCAATCAACGAACTGAATTGTCCTCTTGGTTTTGATTGTGGCAACTGCAGCATTCACATCCTTTGGCACCACATCACCCCTGTACATCAGACAGCAAGCCATGTACTTCCCGTGTCGAGGGTCACATTTGACCATCATGGAAGATGGCTCAAATGCTGTGTTCGTGATTTCAGCAACAGAGAGTTGCTCATGGTAGGCTTTCTCAGCAGAGATTACAGGGGCATAAGAGGAAAGCATAAAGTGAATCCTTGGGTA